AATTCGGAACGTCCTGAAAAAGAAAGAAACTACCGGTGTACTGAGCAACAGACGTCAAACAGGTCGGCCAAGGAAAACAACAGTATTTGAAGACAGAAATATCGTGAGATCTGTGAAGAAAACCCCCAAAACATCAGTAACTGACATCAGCAATGACCTCCACAGTGCAGGGGTGAAGGTATCACAATCCACTGTTGGAAGAAGACTCAGAGAGCAGAAATATAGAGGCCACACCACAAGATGCAAACCACTCATCAGCAGGAAGAATCGGAAGGCCAGACTGAAATTTGCAAAGAAGTACAGTAATGAGATGCAAAAGATCTGGAACACAATCTTATGGACTGATGAGACCAAGATTAATCTCTACCAAAGTGATGGAAAGGCCAAAGTGTGGAGAAAGAAAGGAACTGCTTATGAGCCGAAGCATACAAGCTCATCTGTGAAGCATGGTGGAGGTAATGTCATGGCTTGGGCCTGCATGGCTGCTTCTGGAACAGGCTCATTAATATTTATTGATGATGTAACTGATGATGGTAGCAGCAGAATGAATTCAGAAGTGGATAGAAACATTTTGTCTGCCAATTTACGGAGAAATGCATTGAAACTAATCGGGAGGAAGTTGATCATGCAGGACAATGACCCAAAGCACACTGCCAACAAAACAAAGGACTTCATCAGGGGGGAAAAGTGGAAGGTTTTAGACTGGCCAAGTCAATCAGCTGACCTTAAACCAATAGAGCTGCATTTCACCTCCTTAAGAGCAGACTGAAGGGAGAAACACCCCGAAACAAACGAACTGAAAGAAGCTGCGGTAAAAGCCTGGAATAGCATCACAAATGAAGAATGCAACAGTTTGGTGATGTCGATGGGTCACAGGCTTGAGGCAATTATTGCAAGCAAGAGTTACGCCACCAAATATTAAATGTTATTTACTTTAACATTACCTGTTCCATTACTTTTGCTCACCTAAGAATGCTGTGGTCTAATACAAACGGTGATATGTCCTAAATCGAATACCAGGAAATAAAAGCTGAAATTCTGAACTCTTGTCTCATACTCATCTTTTGATCTTAAACCCAAATATCTTCAGTGAACAACAAAAACAATGGAGCTTTGGATTGATCAGGAGGATGGCTGCTTTACTCCAAACAGTTTCACTGTATGAACCTGGACATTGTGTGAGACAAAAGCCGATGAATTAACATTGGATCTTGAGCGATCCTGTTGGCCTGTCTGGAGATTTAAATATTAAGATATGTTGCTGTGATTTATGCGTAAATGCGCACAGCAACTCTCTTAACCGGGAGATGGATTCGGGCTTATTCAAAGTGTGTATTCACAAAAACCTGCCTGCCCATCCACACATCATATTCAACAATAACATCATCGGTAATATCATTCCTCATTAAGGAATCCAGTTAGAACAGTGCTTTATCACGTGCTACACAAATGGTGATGGGCAGAAAGTTTGATTGCCATGGTTGGTTGTATATTTCAGCTGCATGTCACGCTTCTTTTAAACGTCACGGCTGCTAAAAAGACTTCTAAATCCTCGCTTTAAGCCCCTCAAGCAAGCCCCTTCAATGTCCTTCAAGATGGCACGCTGAGATCGATTTCCGGGTCACAGGCGGAGGATTGAGGATCGAGGAGGCACAAAAGGCAGATATCGGCTTTACACCTCAAATCCTTATGTAGACACAATATAGCTCTCATATTAACACACAAAGAGTAGGTTGTACATTTAAAGTGATAATTATTACAGTTTACTAATGCTAGGGTGATATAGCCTATATGCTTTATTTATTTGTTTATGTATTTAGTTAAATTTTCCTCTCCTTAATCATTTGGCTGAGAGCATTTGAAGACAATAGAAAGAAAATACAGCACATAATAATCTTGTGGGTCAGTCAGATGCTGACATTATAGGGGGAATTCAGGTTTATTGGGAATCAGGTTATTTGGGACAGTATAAGAAAACAGCCTTTAACTTCTGCCCTGAAAAGTGTCAGTCAGAGTTATTGTTGCTAAGACCTTGCTTTGAATGCATATGACTAAAATCAAATGACATAATTAATGTGTCGTCACATGGGGGTAGTCTGCATCTCACAAGAAGTTGATCCCAAAAAGCGTTAAGAGAAATCACAGCAATACTTGTTAAACTGTAAACAAACATTTGATTTGGTTTAAATAAATGAAAAATATTCTTTTTCAACAATTCCTCTGAAACTATTGTCACTGTTATGGCCCCCGTCTGTGCTTTAAAAGAAAATTCTGATTGGCCATGCTTTAACACGTGTTCAGCCTTTACCTGAGGAAGATGAAGATGGCCTTTATACTGTCAGTTAATCCAGGATGCATCACGTCCATCTCATTAAAAATGAACATTAAGCGTGCACAGTTGGTGACACTGTCTTTGATTCACTGCTGTAACTGAGACTGAGGACAAACATCAGTTTATTTATACATGAGGCAAAACAGTGTGTTTGAATTGTGTCTACTTTTTATCATACCTTGTACATTCACTTTATGTGGGAAGTGAAGTTTGTATGTGAAAACATGAACAAAGCTGCTGTCCATTTTCTTCTACAAATAAAGACCACCAGAGGCTTCTGTGGGTTGTTGTTGCTCATGAATCCATTTGCAGTTTTCAGGATGATGCGTGAGGCAATGTGCTGCCTGAACAGTTTACTTTCCAGGTCAGCCTGGAGACCTGGAGAGTGCACAGCTCTTGAACAAGATACTAAACAGTTCACAAAAGAAACAGGAATCACACTTTAAAATGACATCACAATGGACACAAATGTTAAAATATCAAATAAAGTAGCCTACAAACATTTATGTTTAAAAGTTTTGTTATTCTTTATTTGACGCAGAAATTGTGTATAGGCTGCCTGATGGGGTCATTCTTACAGTCTTACCCTCCTTACTTGGATTTCAGGTTTTGGCGGTAATCACTCACTAGTTTTGAACATGCCATTTCACTCTTTCTAAGATTCCTCCCTCTCATAGCTGTGACAGCCTAAGAGGACAGATGATGTGACAGCAACTCACAAGCAGCCTGAGTCAGGTAGTATTAAAATTTGGTTAAAGCTGGGGAATTTTAAAAATACGATTTTGTCAGGGCTTGACATTAACTTTTTTTTACAAAGTTACTAGCCATGCAGCATTTTCACTAGACACATTTTTGTTGTTGGAAAATTACGTTTCATCTGATTAAAGCTGACAAACGCATGCTTAAATTGGCATGCTAAATTTGGCATGATTACTTTTATTAAAACATAGAATTAACTCTGGAAAGGTAGTTGTGATATGAGGATATGATGTGACATATGGCAGCTCTGCTAGCAGTAACACCATGTCTCTAAATCATAATAAAGATATCTGCAATTTTACAGCATTTAACAGCGCTTTCCTCCTGCATTTTCTCTGTCTCAGCTCTCCCGTTTCTCTTTCTCTTGTTCTCCTGTGCATTTTTCTCCACGCTGCTCGGCCACGCACACTTACGCACTGACTGAACGCTGTGTTTGGTTCCTCTGGCTCCTTGGGGTCATGTACTTGGGGACTTTCCCCACCACATTTTGAAATGGCTGATTTTGTTCCCATCCCATTTTGAAAGCATTTGTTAAAAATGTACTGAAAAATAGCTTGCACCAAGAAATGTTAATTAACAATAAAATTGCTTTGAGAAAGGTTTATTTGCACAATAAGAAAACATGCAATGCGGTGTAAATATAGTTTCCCAGATAATGTCTTCAGAATGCAGGAAATTAAGTGTTTAATACTCAAAATCTTCTGGGGAAGAAATACAATTTTACAAAAAAAGAGTTAAATAGAAAGTAAGTTTTGCTGTGTAAGTTTTTAATCTACAGCCTTAGATTTGATTTTATAAAAAGCAGCAGTAAAAAGAAAAGTCTTAAGTTTTTATTTAAAATAACTGAGTTTCAGCAGACCTGCAGTTTTCTGGGAGTTTGTTCCAGATATATGGAGCCTAAAAACTGAATGCTGCTTCTCCATGTTTAGTTTTGACTCCGGGGACAGAAAACAGACCTGTCCCAGACAACCTGAGATGTCTGGATTGTTCATAATGTAAAAGAAGATCAGAAATGTATTTTGGCCCTAAATCATTCAGTGCTTTATTAACCAACAGCAGTATTTTAAAATGAATTCTTTGACAGAGATGAAGCTAGTGTAATGAAATAGACTGATGTAATCCACTTTTTTGGTCTTAGTGAGGACTCAAGCAGCTGCGTTCTGAAATAGCTGCAGCTGTCTGATCGATTTTTAGGGAGCCCCGTAAAGACACTGTTACAGTGGTCGAGTCGACTGAAGATAAATGCATGGACAAGGTTTCCAGGTCCTGCTGAGACATGAGTCCTTTAATCCTTTATATATTCTTCAGGTGATAGTAGTCCATGACTACACCAACATTTCTGGCTTGGTTTGTGGTTTTTAACATTACCGACTGAGCACTGACTTTAAAAACGCTCTTCCTTGGCTCCAAAAACAATCACTTCAGTTTTGTCTTTGTTGTTTGTTTGAAGCAAATTCTGGCACATCGTTGCCACACCTGCCTAAAACCTTTGCATAGTATTTGTATGCTGACCTTTTAGATCCTTGGGCAGAGGTCTGCTATCTGTTCCAGAGTCTCGACTGAAAATAAAGGGGACAGAGCGTTTGCTATCAGGGCCCCGAGGCTCTGGAACAGCCTGCCTGAGGAAATCAGGTCGGCTGAGTCAGTGAACTCTTTTAAGTCCCTTCTTAAAACATACTTTTATAGGAGAGCCTTTCCCAATCTTATTAGACTTTATTTTATCCCTTTTATTTTATTGTATTTTACTAATTTTATATTTATCTTAAACGTGTATTTTAGTCTTTTCAATGTTTTCATGCTTTTATCTTGTATTGTATTTGTATTATTGTCTCTTGGGTATTATTGTCTTTACACTTGTTAAAGCACTTTGTAACTTGTTTATGAAAAGTGCTCTACAAATAAATATTATTATTATTATTATTATTTTATGTAGTAGTCCAATTTGCTCTGTACCGTCTTGCAGCCTTTGACAGAGAAAACTCTCTCAGTTTCGGGGAAATAAACCAAATCTTTGGCCATCTTCTCTGCCTCATTTTGGTCTGGCTTAAATCCTCTGTCTCTCATCTCGGATATGGCACACTGGACAACGTGCCGGTACTCCAGAGGCAGAAACGGGATGAAAAAGTCCACCGGGTTCTCAACAATCAAATGTGAATACCACAAGCCACCTACAGGAATAGATTGAGAGATCCTTAAGTGTTACGACCCCTAAACCAATCCCTAACCAAACAAACAGAAATAAAGCCACGAAAACTAAACTACCAGTTCCATCAGAAATATAAGTAAAGAACAATAATCAAAAGAAATACTAATCAGCAGCGGTCTCTGTGGTCTGCTGCTGCCATGGCTGGAAGGTGGACAAGAGATCTAAACCTAAAGCTAGTTTTTTCAGAATCTATTTTTCTATCTACTTTTCTATCTTTTTTTCTGACTAGGACTAAAAGAAGTAGTCTACTCACCATTGTTGTTAAATGCTGAGACAGGGATCGATGTTTCCAGGTCTCTGAGTTCAATCTTTTCTCGATCTCCTGCTTTCCAGAAGTCTAAAGCTGTCTGTGTGATGGTCTGCCCGCCAGTATTGCTAGGAGGAAGATCAGCTTTGTTAAAAATCTTAACATCTAAAGTGCCTAAAACCTGTGCAGGGTACTGTAGCCTATAAAAAGTAACAAGTATGTGTCTGTCTAAATTGTGTGTAGATACAAAAAGTCACAGAAATAAATATTGATGATCTATTTGGAAGAAACTGCTCAAAAATCTAATTCTAAGGCTTGAAAAGACGTCAACATCTTAATCCTATATGACTCAAGCATTAGTCTACTGCTCGCAAAACTGTAAACAAACAGCTCTCTCTCTGTGCTCTTGTCTGTGTCCATAAAGGTTTGACTAAATTAAAAAACATTTAAATTCCTCCATAACAACTGTTCTGATTCAATTCGGATTGGTCATACTTCAACAAATGTGTTCATCCTTTCACCTTATGAAGATGTAGATTGCTTTCTGAAAAAAGGAACCTCCATAGGGATTGTTGTTCCCCAGGAACGGCTTTATGCTTTTAATCAATTCAGGATGCATCTTGTCCATCTCATCAAAGATAAATATGGAGCGTGCACAGTTGGCGAGATTGCATTTGATCCACTGCTGTAACTGAGACTGAGGACAAACATCAGTATATTTAATTCATATACTATAAGAGGCAAAACAGAATGATGTCAATGTGTTTGAATTGTGTCTTTTTATCTTACCTTGCAGGTCTCAATTTTGCTTTTATGTGGGAAGTGATAATCAGAATGGAAAATATGAACAAAGCTGCTGTCCTTCTTGTAAATGCTTTCAGCAATCAGGTTACTAACATGGGTCTTCCCTGTGCCAGTTGGTCCGTGCAGAGACAGCACCAGAGGCTTCTGTGGGTTGTCGTTTCTCATGAATTCATTCACAGCTTTCAGGATGATGCGTGAGGCAATGTGCTGTCCAGGTCAGCCTGGAAGAGTGCAGAGCAAAAAGTCAACAGGACTATTGAAACCTTTCTCAGCATTGCCGTCAGGAAATTCTTTAGCTAAGGTGGCCACCAAAATCTCGCCTCGTCTGGCTTCATGATCCATTTCGTTATTACGTGACAGCTAAAAAAAACCCCACAGTCTTTAAATAGCTTTATCAAATCAACCTTAATTTGTATAGCGAAAGTGTTTTCAAAGTGCTTTACAGGGGACCGATAGTAATAAGTTGGGAAGTATTTATGATACATGTATTTAAAATTCAATTCTACAAAATTTTGTAGTTTCAAAATACTGTAAAATACTTTGTAAGAAATCTATCATAAAAACTGTGATTAGTGCCTTCTCAGTAATTTGCCCATAGTTGCATTCTTTCTCCTGTGGTTGCAAAACTACTACTTCTCACCTTATTTATTCCCTCAGTAAACACTTCTAATAAGATTATTGTCTCAGTCATTAGTTTCAAGTCTTCCTCAATACAACATGATGTTCATTTAGTCAATTATGGTCCCATTTAGAGGAAAATAGAAGATAAAACAGGGTATGCTTTAGGGCGGGACTACCTTGTAATTGACAAGTCATTACCATGTCGACCTGTCAATCAGGCTAGAGGCGACTTGTATCCACTGCACTGTGTAAATTTAACCAGCGTATTAAACAAGCTTATTAAGAGTCGGTTGTTCATTTTTTCCTTAAGTACGTTTTGTTTTAAGGCTGTTTTTTGCTGTATTGTTCATTGTTAAGAGCAGATTGCAGAATGCAGGCTATTACTTTCCAAGTTATGTTTCAGTTGACAGTAAAAACACCAAAGTCACTAAATTTACATTATCGATGTGGCTGCAACGTTAATGCAGAAGCCTATATAATTCAGATAAGAACTACAGACGTTTCTTCCTTTAGTCGCATTGGAACAAACTCAGTTCACATCGCTCAATTGTCTAACATTACTTTTACATGTAGACCTACTCACCTGCTGCATGGTGGGCTGTCCATTCATGATCGCATTTTAAATCCATTTGTATGTGTTTCCTGATATTCCAGAAATCTGACAGTATTTCTGTCACAGTGTCACACGCCATCATGCAGTGTTCATGCATTTCTTGCCGCAAACAGGCTGACGATAATGTGACACATAACAGCAAATATAAGATTCCCACTTTCATCGTAGAAACCACTTAATTCCTGACGTCAGTCGTTTTTTTATGTGGTAAAAGAACAATAATCCCACGGTGAACCGCGCTAAACCAGCAGGTTTACTAACTTCTTTTCAATTTCCTCTGACTATTGAGAAAGTTGAATCCAGCAGTGCTTCTATTCTTTCATTGCACCACCGTGACATCACTTTCGTTATAAGCGAGAGACAGACTGCCTCCAGTGAGCAGCATCTGGCGGGTCTTATGGTGCGTTCAAGCCCACTTGGAACTCAGAAATTTACAACATCCTCCAACCAGAAAAACACCTGTGGATGGTCAGTTTACAGTTTACATAGAGCCTGGTCAGAAACTTTTTCATGTTCCAGCTAAACAGTAGCCTATACCAAAATATTTTCTGAAAACAATTGTGGCGAGAAATAGGCAATCCAGTAGGCCTTACGGAATCTTGATTTATCAGACCTGCATAGTTTTACAGATTGTTTTGAGTTGCATGAGCCTGCCGCGTTGCGTTGGACAGACTCGTGTTTGAAAAAGTGAAAAGTGAAAAAGACATATACTTAAGTAGCACTTTTTTCGGATGCACTTATCACATTTTAATTGTACTATACTAAGTTGTATATTAAATGTGTTATTTTGGAACAACTTAAAAGTATGTTAAGTGTCATTTTAGAAATACTTAAAGTCAACTTTAATATAATTGCAATATATTTTAATATACTTAGTTGTGTTAAATTACAGTAAAGGTACTTAAAGTAGGTCCATTACTAGTAGTACCTTTACTGTAATTTAAATTTACTTTTTCTAAATTTAACTTAAAATAGCTATCCTTTTGTGCTATACTTGAAGAACAGTTTAAAGCCCCCCTCCAGTGTATTTTGATATTTCTATGATATTTCATATTTTTTGGAGTCATTTCCTTACAATGTTGATTACCCATATAGTTTGCCAAATATTTTTTAACGAATAGCTTAATATTGTGCTCAAAGTTGCAAATGTTGCTTAGTTGTTAAAATGGTGTTGTGACGTATGACTATAGTAATTCCATAAGTAATACGTCTTTCTCCAAGCTTGTGCAGGTGAATTGTCATGACTTGTTAAAAAACTGTCACGCCATCACGCCTCAAATTGCAGAGCATTGTTGTGAATTTTTTGTAAATTACAAAAATAAATTCCATTTAGGTTCAGGTGAAACCTCTCCCAGTTAATGCTCAGTTCTTCCATTACAACATGATCAAAAACATTACATAAACACTACTGTACATTCAGCCAAGGAGCTGTATATGATAAAATGTTATTAGATAGGTACAACAAATAACACAAACATACAGATTTGCTTAACAACTGTGCTGTCTACATGTCATTTCACATTAAAACAGACAGCAACATATTAGTTGCATTTATTACCTTGATTATAACCTCACTGGTCATTTTAACAAATGCTCCGTATTTGTATAGCGCCTTTCTAGTCTTTTCAACCTCTCAAAGTACTTTTACACTACATCTACATTCACCATTCACACACATTCATACACTGAGCCTAAGTGCTCAAAACGAAACTAACATTCACACACATTCATTCACTGGTGGAACAGCCGCCAGGGGCAATTCAGGGTTCAGTATCTTGCTGAAGGACACTTCCACATGCAGCCTAGAAGAGCCGGGGATTGTTTGGGCAACCCGCTCAACCTCCTGAGCCACAGTCGCCCACAGTGCAAAAGCAGAATTTAGGGCTCATACACACACATGCAGGCCTGCCTTGTTAAAATCTCATGCATCAAATTCCAGCAACAGGGTTGCTTTGAAAAACAGGCACAAAAGTAAGAGGGTTTATGAGATCTGGGATAACAAAACATGGGATTTCCAAATCCGGATCATTCTGATCTAGATTAAACTTGATTAAACTCTAGATTAAACTTGGCCTAGGGCCCACTGTTCAAAAGTAATCTGATCGGATTTCGGCTATCAGATTTGGATGAAATCCTGAAATGGGTTGTTCAAAAGAAAAAAAGGATTCTGAAATCGGAAGGGTGGATTCAGGGTGGAATTTAGGAACAAAATGTCATAAAACTTTCCAAATTTTCCAAATAATATGAACTTGATTTGTTTAAACTTTACAGTGATAAAGTAGACATTACCTATTAAGCCATTCAGTACAATAAAGTAAAAAAAAAAATCCCCCAAGAAGCAGTCAATGTCAAACAAAACATAATGCATTTCATTTCAACTGTCATTCATTACTGTACATGATTTACAAAGGCACAATCATCAGAGGCGATCCATTCAAAAGTAGTTTGCAACAATTACATCCCTTATTGTACGTCCAATTAGTCCTTCATTCTGAGAGAACACTGGAGGTTTGTCCAGGTCTTCAACAGGCTCAGGTGCTTCATAAAAGTCATCAAAGAGACATTGCGCCTGGTAGCAATGTTGTGCAGAACAATACAGGCAAGTTTTATGTTGCACACTCCTTGTGGTTCCACTCGCAATGCAAAGCGCCTCTTCAGAACTCCATTTAAATGCTCAATTGCACACCTTGTTTTGCAATGAGCAGTGTTAAAGCGTGGCTGCTCAGGTGTGCTTGCTTGCTGCAATCTCGTCATCCTTTGGAAATGAAACCAAAGGATGACGAGGATTGATACAGCTTTCACCACATTACTCACAGGTGATTTGTCCATTGTGGTCACGAACCACTTGGTAGAAAGTCCCAGATGCATAGAAGTGCAGAACAATGAGACACTGTTCTTCTACAGACAGATCCTGACTCCTTTGGGTCCTGCGCTGAAGGTGTGGCCTGACAAGGTCTGTAATGTACTTAATATTAGCATTCCCAAAGCGAAACCGAGCATAAAGTTCTTCAGTGGTGTATTGCTCTAGGGGTTTTGTAAGCTTAACATACACCCACTGATAGTGGCGATGGACATTACCTGCCATGCCAGTGCCTCTCCGAGAAAGACTGAATAAGATGGCTGTATTATTGGTTGTTTCAAACACACACCCATCACACCTCAATTAGCTGATTTGCTGTGGCCTGTGTGAAATTATATCAGTCCTGCCCAAGGCCCTCAAACTCCATGTTCCCCACACCAAACAGGTAGAAACATGGACTCAAAAGGACCCAATTTCACTGTTGCAGAAACACACGCACTTCTGGAGTGTGTTAGGTGCCTCAATAGGAAGTTTTAATTCTACTAAGGGCGGAGAAGTAACAAAATCAAAATGGATATTTTAATGCCATGGGATCTGGCCAGAAGAGGACCACGGAGCAAGTGAAATTAAAATGGAAGAATCTAAAGGCCAGGGCAACAAAGGCAACCATGCTGAAGCAAAAAACAAGCCCAAACAAGCCCTTCAGGAGAGGTGACTACACAGATGTGGTTCTTGACATTAGGCAAACATTCAAAAGTTGTTTGTAGCAATTGCATCTTTTATTGCAGGTCCAGTCAGCCCCTCATTCTTAGATCGCCTCCCAAAAGCTGCTCCCTTAACTCTGAATGATCTTTATTTTAACTACTGCTACTGCTTTAATCTGGCTGGGCAAGGCATGACGGATATGCCACTGAGAGTTCACCACTGACCAGTCCCTTTGTCAAACTTTGCATAAACACGAGTCTGTCCAATGCACTGTGGAAGGCTCATGAAACTCACTACAAACTGTAAAACTATGCAGGTTTGATCAAATATAAATCAAGATTAGGCTATGTTACTTGATTGCCTACTTCTCACCTCAATTGTGTTCAGAAACACATTTCAATGTATGCTGCTAATGTTTAGCTGGAATATGAGAAAGTTACTGACCTGGCTCCATGTTGAAAACTGTCCATCCAAGTTGTTTTCTGGTTGAAGTCGTAAATTCCCGAGTTCGGAGTCGCCTGGAACGCACCATAAGCAGCGCCGGATGCTGCTCACTGGAGGCGGTCTGTCTGTCTCGCGCTTATAACATCAATGATGTAAAGTTTGTGCAATGAAAGAATAGAAGCGCCGCTTGATTCAACTTTATGATAGTAACGTTATTCAGAGGAAATTGGAAGTTCCCCGTTGAAAAGAAGTTATCCTGCTAGTTTATCGCGGTTCACCACATTAGGTTGCTGAGGCCAGGAATTTATTGGTTTCTACGATGAAAGTGGCACACTTATGTTTGTTATATATTTTGTTGACAGCCTGTGTGCTGGTAAACACGTTTGAACTGTTCATAACGGCGGCTGTCGGTGTGGCTCTCGGGAGGATGATCTGGAATTACTTACAAACTGAAACATGCGATCCGAAATGGACAGCCATCAATGCAGCAGGTGAGTAATGTTTGCCTATACAGTTGAGCGGTGTGAATAGTTTGTTTCAATGCGACTAAATGGGGAAAATATCTGTAGGCCTAATCTTAATTATCTATGCTACTACATAACGTTACAGACACATCAATAATGAAAAGTCTGTGTGTTTTTACTGTCAAAACTGAAACTTGGAGAGTAATGCAGTCTGAAATATCCTCTTAGCAATGAACAATGTTTCCGGGTTCTGACACCAGCACCCATCATACAAGACACGAGGTGTTTTATTGCGCTGAAATAATTCTTTGTTTTGTTTGACCAGCAGTCCAATCCCCAAAGATATTGTGTACATCAAGGGTCCTTAACTACTAGGGCTGGACTCATTTTCACAAAATTAAATTCTCAACTCAACTCAACTCAACTTTATTTATAGAGCACTTTAGACACCACCAGTGGAACCAGAGTGCTGTACAGAAGGTATAAAATAGAAAATAAAAACAGAGTCAAAAAACAGCAAACTAAAGTTACAAAGCATTATCAAATGCTAAAGAAAACAAATAAGTTTTAAGCGCACTGTGAAAGGTACTCAATGAAGGACAAGTTTTTACAGAGAGAGGAAGGTCATTCCAGAGCCTAGGAGCAGCAACAGAGAAAGCCCGATCACCTTTACATTTTAAATTGATCATTTGAGGGCAGAGATCTACTGGATTGACAGCGGCTGACTAAATCAGTAACATACTCCATGCAGAGACTTAATAACATACAACAACGTTTTGTATTGAATTCTGTATCGTATGGGTAACCAATGTAATTTAATTAACACTGGAGTAATGTGCTCTCTCTTCTTGTACCCGTTAAAAGTCTGGCAGCTGAGTTCTGAACGAGCTGCAAACGGGAGCGAGAAGCCTGACTCACACCCAGATACAGCACATTACAATAATCCAAACGGGATGACACAAAGGCATGAACAACCTTCTCCATATCGTCAAAAGAAAGGATAGATTTCAATTTAGATATTGATCTAAGATGGAAGAAACGACCTCAAATTTAAGCTCAGAGTCAAAAATGACACCAAGGTTCCTCACGCTATACAGTTTTTTCCCAGAAAACAACCCCAGGCAGTCATCATCCACATACTCCTTATTTCCAAATAAAATCATCTCAGTCTTATCCTCTTATCCTTAGTTATTCGCAAGCCAACATGCATGAAGAGACTGAATGGTACATTTATGCCCATGTTTCAGTGGTAAGTAAATTTAAGAGTCATCCGCATACAAATGATACTGAATCCCAAATTTCTCAAAAGGGAAAATAAAATTGGTCCCAGTATAGAGCCCTGTGGAACCCCACACACAAGAGGGGTAACAGAAGAAAAATAATCCCCTAAACTGACAGAAAAAGTCCTATCCTTCAAATAGGAAGAGAACCATTGTCAGAGGTGTCTAAACTGTTTAAAAAAAAAAGGGGGCTGAATAACCGCATGCTTAAAACTAACTGGAACAACACCAGATGACAAGCTGATATTCATAAGACACAAAATACTTGGGCCAATTGAATCAAGTACCTTCTTAAACAGAGAAGAAGGGAGCACATCACCAGGAGACCTGGTGGCTTCATATGAGCAGTTATATCATTAAGCTGCTGCAAAGAAACAGGCATAAAACTAGTTAATTTGTTCGTAGGGTCAACAGAAGGAATAAAATCAATGCCAACAGATGAAATCTGAGATCTAATTCTATCAACCTTACCAATAAAAAAGTTTAACAACTCTTCACACATGTCAGCAGAAGGAGTGAATGAAGGAGTAGCAGTAAGATGAAGAACAGCATTTACAGTAGAGAAAAGTACTCTAGAATTATTACAGTTTCTAGAAATGATGACAGAGAAATAATTTGATCTAGCCAATTTAACAGCTCTTTGATACTCGTTCAAACAGTTCTTCAAAATCTCATAAGAGACTTGTAATTTATCTTTAACCCATTTGCGTTCAGCCCTCCTACACTCCTTTCTAAGAGCACGGGTAGTGCTGTTCATTAATTAAGTTCGTTAATTTCTTAGCCTATATCACTGTAAACAGGTTCCTAAAAATCATGTTAAATCCCTTGTAACTACTTAAAATAGTCCAGGTGATATGTTAAAATTATGTTCACTTTTTCTTAAGCATGAAACTTTGGGGGGTTTGGGGGGCCTGAACATTTTCAGAAATGGAGCTATCGCAAAAACGCCTTGTGGTGGCCATGGTGACCATTTTACTTTCCACCATAACCAAATTATGTATATATCTCCTGAACCAAACATGGTAACACAGAAAAGGTGATGTCTACTCCTATATTGTGATGGTAAAGGATTGCAATGATACCATATACAACATCACAAACTGCTCGGGTGTTGTGTTAGAGTCCATAAGGGGAAAGCATTTTTCAATTGGAGCCTTGTGACAGTTGAACTGTCACTCTATTATCACGTTGGTAACAGGGCTACACTCACAGTAAGTAAAAGTAAAAATACACTTTCCTGAGAGTATTTGTTCTATATATATGACTGCATTATTAAAAAAATATTTATTACTGCATAACATATAAGTCAGTTAATAAAGAAACTGAGAAAATTAATAGCCATAATATTAAAGTGGGTGGTGATGGGGCAGTGGATAAGCCTTTGCTGTGAGAGACCTGGGTTCAAATCCACTGTGAGACACCATTGTGTCCCTGAGCAAGACTATGATATATGACCGAAATATGTCAGAAGCTATAGCTGTGTTTCAACCAAAAGAACGGTATCTACGTACTGTAACTCCAGATTCACAAAACCCCTGACTCTTCTGGCAAAATCAAACACTTTCCTCAAACCATTGCACAAAATATTGTGCAATCGCAAAATCAAAGTCAATGAGAGAGTCATTCTACCTCAGCATCCCGTCTTTGTGCTGGTTCCAGCCAGAGGACTTTGTCCACATCACATGCAATGTTGTCCCTTTCTAGGCAACGGGGGAAGAACCCTCTTGTGTGCCGGATCCAGCCTTGACAACACTCCACACCTATGTCACCACAGGCCAATTCCATTGCCTGTAAAAGATTTACCCTTGTATATGGGTTACGGTCATATACCTTCGATCGCTACGCAGAGAAAAACTCTCCTATTAGGTTGAGGAAAGGGCTGTATGGTGGAAGGCAAACATTCATGAATCGCTGGTTGATGTTGAACCACTCACGTATTCGGACACCACGGTGAAACCTGACATTGTCCCAAACCACAACATAGACAGGATGCACTGCCTGTTGATGATCCTGCTGCACACGTTCAAAAGAAACATCCCGAAGACCACCCAGAAATGTGAGAAGATGGTCAGTGTTATATGGCCCCAGGGTTGCATGACGGTGGAGAACCCCCCCATTGCTTATGGCTGCACATAGGGTGACATTGCCACCACGTTGGCCAGGGACTTCCACAATGGTTTTCAAAACTATGTCTCCTTTTTTCAAAACTCTACACACAATTCTCCCAACTGCTCACACAAAATGCAAAATACCTCATATGTCCTTTAAAATGAAACACTGCATTCAAAATGTCCTAAACACATCCCAAAATGAAGTATTGGCATCAGATGGCAAACACCTTTTTCAAAATAATAAATTATTGGATATACCATGCGCACACTGTTGTTCTAAATCAAAAGGTAATTTGTCTTTCACAGGCGTGTTTGTACATTTCCATACAATGTTGTAGAGTGAAACTAATCTGCTAAGATGTACTGAAAAGTAAACTGTTAACACTTATTTGGAAAATCAGTTATTTTGTATTTTGTATACAGTAGCATCCAAGAAATGAAACCCATAAACATATGTAAACCAAAAGTATAATTTTTACTTTTATTGCCAAAAATTAATACTTATTTTACTGCTGAAATAACCAATATATTGTTCCAACCTGTTCTAATTTCTGAAGGTTCAAATTATGGACGCCACTGTAAAGCTTCTCTCATGGTCAACCTGTGGTCACATGATCAATAAATGTGGCCCTAATCTCATCAGTGATGGCTCTCCTTCCTTCTCTTCTTTGCCCTCGTCCTCTTCCTCCTCTTCCTCCTCCTCCTCCTCTTCTACCAACTCTTCCTCCTTGAACTTTTCCTCTCTGTCCATTGTTCGCATCCATTGTTCAAAACAGGTAATTTGACCTTTGACCTATGGATAGGTCTACTGTATATTAAAACAGTGATTGGTTAATGATCATTTAAGCAGTTAGTGTTTACACATGTGAGGAGGGGCTGTGTGACCTGGTGAATAAGTGCAGCATTTTGATTGGTTGTCTGACAGGTCACTTCCTGTTAGAATTTTGTGTTGGTTGTGTTTAGGTTGAGAATTGTGTGTAGTGTTTTGAAAAAGTGTTTTATGCGTATGCGTTCGAAAACTGAGTGAAAGGACGAGAAATAGCTAATGAGTTTGGAAATTTGGGATGAGGTTTTGCTCTTTGAGTGAGAGGTGTTAAAAATTGTGTGAAATGTAAAGATTTTGTGTGGAAGCAGTTGGAAAAAACTGTAAAAGAGATAAATAAATAGTTTAGTAAGTGTTACAGAAAGACATACTTCTGCAAAAGTGTATTTAAATGCACTCCTGATTTACACTACAATATAGTGCAGTTACAGTAACAGTATAGTACAATAACTGTAGGCTAGAAACTTGTACTGTAAGCATCAGTGCTGAAAGTGTACACTTACTTGCACATACTGATATCGTAGATCTTTGACTCTTTCTGAATTGCGCTCAAAGGGTACTCTGTACACTTGCTTCATGCGTACCCTGTTGCGATGGAGGACACGGGCAATGGTAGAAAGGCTGACACTGCTGATTCCTTCAACAACTGCTTCTACAACTATTTGCTGTATTTCACGCATGTTGTGTGTAAACAATGACAGCTGTGTTGTAGTTGTGTTTAACTTATTATTTAACTAATTGTGTTGCGGCATTTGTATTTGCGTTGTGGCTTTTTTGTTCGTGTTGTGGCTTTTGTAATTGTGTTGTGGCGTT